TGGTCCAGGTCATGACCTCATGGTTTTGTGAGTTCAAGCCCCTGGCAGCAGGGAGCCTGTTTCCAATTCTCTGTCTCCTTTCCTCTCTGCCCCTCCCCACTTCTGCTGTTTCTGTCTGTCTCAGATAAATAGACTTAAAAAAAAAAAAAAAAGAGCCCAAATGTTCTGAGTGTGGGGTAACTTTCTATTTTGCAGAAAAATAATCTTTTTGTTTTCAAGTATGCAAAGAAGTGAAGCTAGAATTTGTCTCAGAAATAGAGTAAGTGGACATAAAGGATATTTAAGCATCAGAAGGGAAAGGGCTATCAATGAACCGTAGCTAAGATCACAGGCTCCTTATCTGCAAAGAGAATCAATCTGTGGTAAGCTACAGATTTGTGGTAAGTACAAACCGGAATTCATTTTAAAGATAAAACCCAGAAGGCTAGGGCTAGGGCTGAAGATGAAGCCTCATTTCCCTTTTACCTTGCCACCCAGCTGTTGCCAATGACCTCCCTGAAACAGAGAAATCACCTCCAGTAGCAAAACCTTAAGAAGCGATTCTCAATCTTTCTGGTGCGAAAGAACCCACCGAGGAGGTTGCTAAAATGCAGCTTCTTAGGCTGTACTCCCAGAAAGTGCTGACCGGGTAAGTCTGGGTGGGGTTTAGGAAACTGAACTTTAACAAGCATCCCATGCAATCATGGTAAAGATCATCAGAGATTTTTAGGCCAAACTTTTTAGGCAAACTTTTTAGGCCAAAATTTTTAGGCAAACTTTTGGTTGAGACTCCAATAAATTTCACAATCGGCTTAATATGAGAGTACGTTTGAAAAAAAAATAAAAAATAGAAAATATTAGTGTAAACCGTGCAGTCAAGTTTTGGATTCATTCCTATATGAGCGTGGATGTATGCACGTCCTGAATCGTGAAGTCAAATGTATTTCGGATCGTCTCGGCCAACACAGTCTGAGAGGTAGTGGCCTCAGGGGACTTGAGTATTATCTCCCTGTGACCCCTCTCACTGTCCCCCACACCGTACCAAATATCAAATCATCATGTCAGCTCTAATGTCCTCCCCCATTCACACGGCCAACAAAGGAAGTGGGGCTGCATTTCTTATGTTTGTTCTAAATGTCATGAAGGACAACTAGCTTATGGGGCTGAGGAATGAATGTAGACAGCTTGAAGGAAGACTTTGTCAAACCCGGAAGAGCTTCAGACATATCAGATGGCGTGAAATGAAAGAAAGCCATATTGACCCTGACCTGAGCTTAGGATTTTCCGGAGGTCTGAAGGAAGAGAAGGAACGGCAAGGAGGACTGGTTGGAAAATCATAGGCAAATAATGGAAAGCAGCTGAAACCCAAGAAATTGGAAGATAAGCCCACGCTGTCTTCTCTCTGTGTGAAGATGATGTTAGTAACCCGCCATGCAGAGTTGGCGCTGTTTTTGCTTTATGTTTTTTCTTCCCAGAACTGAGGATGGATACTTGCTCACTCATCCGTATCCTCTTGACCTAGCTCCTATAGAACACAGTATCAGTTTGTAGGTGCTGGCTTGGACAAAACCAGACCTGTAACCCGTCCTCAAGGACGCAGATTTCACCAAGTAGCAAACAGCCACAAGAAAGATGGCGACCGAAAATGATGCCAAGCCCGTTCAGGATGGCGTGCCATGTACCTCGTCCAGCCTCTTCGCTCTCCTCTTTGCCGCCCCTTGGGAACTCCTCTGCCAGATCCATTTGGAAAAGTCCAGCAAGGGGGCTCAGGGAACTGAAAGCCAGCCCTCATTCCACTTGTCAAGCTGTGTATCCAGCTTGGGGTTATCTTCAACTTGAAGAAGGAACGTTTTTCTAATTCCACGGCCACCACCCAAACGAGTGCCTTTTCTCATTTTTACAAAGGATTAGTACAGGCTGGCAGCCCCCCACTGGGAGGATAACTCAATCCCATCAACAAGTCACTGCGCTTTTTCACGGTGTCAGGCAATCTCGCAGCGTTCAAAGGACACCCCACGTACAACATACAAGCACAGCCACGGGCTGAGCGGAATTTCTTCTCACGCACTTCAAGACTGGAGAACGCACTTAACAGCAAACGCTGGATGGCCTGACGAATAACCGAACTCACTTAAAAAATAAAGGCTACCCGGGCTGTGAGCATACACCACTCCCAGATTCCCCATGGTCAGCCTGCAGCCTCCCTGGTTACCTTTTCACTCAACTACGTCTTCTTGTGTGCCTTATAATGCCCAGCACACCATCCACTTACGAGAGTCCTATTTTATTTGGGATCAATTCAGACGATGCCCTTATTGTCACCACTAAGGAGAAAAGGTCAAGTGGGTCCATCCGTGTGTGTGACCCGGTGGCCTCCGGGTTCACACACTGCCACACAGATGTTCCAGCGATAGGCCACACACTGCCACTCATCGGGCTGGCAAGCGGATGCTGCCTTTTCAAAAAATAAGATCGATTTTCGGCATCGTCACTTGTTTCAAACCTCAGCGGTAACAACTTGCACACCCTATTCATCGTCATTATCTTTGCTAAATGCTTTCAGTGCAGGAAGGATGGGGAGACAGGTCTTTGCACGGGTGCGCTATCAATAATCTTTTGAGGAAAGTGCTTCGCTCTAGAAGGAAAAATGAGTCTATTTTATACTTGCTATTTCCCTATCCTGTAGATGGGGATAATAAATATCTGCTCAGAAGGGCTATCGTAAGGGCTAAAAATACAGAGTATCGCATATAATAGGAACTCAATACATGTTGGTATCTTTTCCCTTTGGGGCTGGAGGAGGATGGGTTATCATGTAATCTCTTCTCTGCCTGGGCAGGAGAACTTTTGAGAAGAGAAGGCAGGATTCTTAAGACACCTGAGAGAATCAGGTTAGGCTAACTTTTTCTTAGTACAGCTGAAAGAGCACGGACTATATAGCTCTTGCTATTTAACCACCATGGGGGACCTTACAGCCTCCTAATGGTGTTTGTCAATTAGCATAAGAGGACATTTGACAGGCAGTGAAGACTGTGTCTACCAAACAGACGCATCAATTCAGGGTAGATGGACACACAAGCTAACTTGTGGCATGGGGCTAACCTGGGTCGCTGCCCTAAAATATCCAAAACTTCTTTGCTTTTCTGTACGTCTGCAATTCCTCTTAACGCACAAGGCTCCAAGCCAAGGCTTTGACCACTTGATCGGGGTATTTCCACTCCCTCCATTTACCACAATCTTTCACATCCCTTTGCACAAGCTTCCTTCCTTCCTTCAACCTCCACCTTCCTGCAGAGTCAGCACCTACTTCTAACAAGCCTTTCCTGTCTCTTTCTGTAGTGGGTGAGGGTCCACCCTCTGCCCCCCCCCCAAGGCAGCCTGTCTTGCCTCTCTCATTGTACTCACCTCACCATCTTCCCCCTGTTTCCCAGACTGTCTCCCCATTAGACCGTGTGCCACACTAGTTAAGTGAATGCATGCGCGGTACATGTATGAAATGAGTGAATGGGTGGGAAATGAATCAACCTGGGGATTGGAGCACCAAGTTCAGAACTCAACTTCCCATTCTATGTCTCTCTTTCATCACATCCTTTGTCAGCTTCAAAGTAAATAGCTCCAAAACGTATAAAATATCTTTTATAGGGTGCTTGGGGAAATGGACGTCTTTAGCGGAAAAAGGGAGTGTCTGGCCTGTTAACTCCTCTCAGTCCAACATTTACTTGTTTTTCTGGGTAAGACGAACAACTAATTTCTAGTTAATAGGTTATTGACTGCAGAGAGGGTCTTGGTTCTCAAGAAAAGTGGGACAGATGATTATTGTCTATACATCTTTATGTATTAAATAAAAATAAAGCGTTAGTTCTATGAAAGAAAATCAGAGACACCTCCTTACTACTGCTCTCCTTCCCTGGGTTCTGCAAACAGTGTCCCTTACATATGACTTGCTTAAACTCTGCCAGCAACTCAAATTCAGCTCTGGGTGCCATAGTGGGCTTTCTTCCATGAAGTCAAATGAGGCAACCATCACAGGCTGAGATGGAACATATGAGGCCTTGCCCTGTCCTGACCCAAAGACATCTAAATTATGTCTGGAAGAGAACTTCATGTCTTCTGCATAATATAACCCTCTACTGATAAGCCTTCAATTAAAGAGTAAGCATTCCTACATTACACCTGAAGCTCATTTTCAGTGAAGCTGTGAGTGTATGATACTTAGAAAATCCACAGGGCGCCTGGGTGGCTCAGTCGGTTGAGTGTCTGACTTCGGCTCAGGTCACGATCTCGCAGTTGACGAGTTCGAGCCTCGCGTCGGGCTCTGTGCTGACAGCTCAGAGCCTGGAGCCTGCTTCGGATTCTGTGTCTCCCTCTCTCTCTGCCCCTCCCCTGCTCATGTTCTGTCTGTCTGTCTCAAAAATAAATAAACATTAAAAAAAATTAAAAAAGTAAAAGAGAAAATCCACAGGGCACCTGGGTGGCTCAGTTGGTTAAGCTTCCGACTACGGCTCAGGTCATGATTTTGCAGCCCATGAGTTTGAGCCCCGCGTCGGGCTATGTGCTGACAGCTCAGAACCTGGAACCTGCTTTGGATTCTGTGTCTTTCTCTCTCTGCCCCTACCTTGCTCACATGCGCACGCGTTCTCTCTTTATGAAAATAAATACATGTCGAAAAAAAATTTTTTTAAAGAAAATCCTTCTCCCGTTTCCAAAGAAGTTGGAATGACAGACCAATTCATCGCAACTCCATGGGATGTGAGAGCCTCTAACTTTTGCAAGAAGATTTTGGTCATAAATGCATCATTAGGAAATTCATTGCTCCAAAGCGAATTCTCCCGATTTTACAGGATACCCTCCCAAAGATTGCATTTTGAGCACAGAATCTCTAATGCTCTGCCTTTACGCTCTGGCTTCTCTCCCTGGCTGAGCCAACAGTACAGTGTCATCACTATGCTTGCATCAGGGTGCTCACGCGCAGCCAAATGGCTACTGAATGTGACCAAGGGGACGGAAGAAAGCATCCTGACCTTGTGCAGCTCCACAGGAGTTGGGGACATGATCTCCTTTATTTCTTGTTTCATTTTCCTCAGGGTGACAGACTTCCTGCCCACGTCGGAGGGCAGGGTGTTGCTCCGCGTTGTTTGGCTATAATGCGGCCGCGAGCTGCTCCGTTCCTGGAAGCTGGCTTGTCGCCCCAGCTGACTGCGAGGTGTTGGGGCCTCATGATTCAAACTCATCGTGCTCCCCGACATGATCGTTGCCTGTGGCATTGACAATTTTCAGAGACGATTAAGCCATGGACTAAGAAAAGGGTTCGGTTGCTCAACAGTAAGCACATCTCTCCTTCTGCCCAGTCAAGATACAGTCTCTTCGGGGCATAACCAAAGGCTGGAGAATGGACGTACCAATTGAACTCTGAAAGTGTGGCAAAATGCTTTGCAAGTGACATTTATAATGCACATCTCAAATCCAATTTAAGTACTTAAGCCATTGAGTTTATTTAATCAGATACCACCCCTGGCAGTTTTGAGGCAAATTGAAAAGCGATAACATTTGCTTACTGTAAACTACATTTTAGCCATTAACTTTCCACTGAGTGGGCTCTAAAGATGGGATTCGTGAAGCAGCTTCAATATATCTTACAGAAATGGACGAAGAACTTTTCAACGGGACCAGGTGGCGTCTATTTGCAATGCTGCCTGTAGCTCCCCCTGGAGGTAACAAAGGGCTGAAACAGGGCTATTGATACAAAGGCAAGGGCTTCTACCCAAAGCCGCCTGCCTACCATAGCATATGGTCTCTCCTTGGGCCATGTGACCTGCCCCAGAAATTTGTAGACCCGCGAGGTCTCCGCGTATTTAGCATGGGTCAACCTTTCTTAGAAACGGCCTTTGTGTGAGATGCTCAGAGAGTTTAAAGAGGAATCCTATATTGTGCTACCGGACTCAACCCTTTGCTCAAAAGCTGGGAAACTTAGATTGGATTTTACCGGTGAACAGGGAAGTCTGTTCAGTTTCAAATATGTTCATACACAAGGAAAGGCGAGATTAGATCCCAAATATGACTGAATCTTAGAAGTGAAACTACTTAAGCATTTGAAACCAATGTCCTGTCGAGAATGTTCATTTTTCATGGTTCGGAAATGCCAAAATTTCAAAATTGTGCCTGGAGCCAGCTCCGTCCTCCTTGATAGGATGGCTGGATGATGGTAAACTAGCATTGGTGAACGTGCCCGAAGTCATGGGAAAAAGAGCAAGCCCCACGTGCCGTGTGCCGGCTACAATGCGACTGGTGGTTTACGTGAACGCTAATGCTAACAGTAACCGTACTTTGCTGAGTCCTTGTATTCCCCTACTTAAGCCTCACAACAACTTTGTGAAACAGACACTGTTATTACTCCTAATTTGTAGGTGCAGAAACTGAGGCACAAAGAGGCTGACTTACTCAAGGTCACGTAGGCTCCATCACATAGATGGAGCCAAGGGCACCGTCTAAAATGGTTGGTTAGAAGGGAACACTGCCAAGTGATAGAGCTTTCATTTGTTATCTCCCTAAGATTTTGTGACTCTAAGATTCACCTGGCGTTCGACTATACACGCACCACTAATGTGATCTTCAAATGGCAGCCCAGTATTGGAGCACGTGTAGGTATATCTACAACTCTTGTAAAAAAACAAAAACAACAACAAAAAAAAAACCCCAAAAAACACAACCAGTTATCAATATCCTGACTGGATCAGTTATCTTACTGATAATTTTGAAAAAGAAAAAAGAAAACCTTACTGGCCATTGACTTTAACATGTTAGCACGTGTAATACCATATACATGTGTATGTAGAATGTCATTTAATATTTATGATAAGTTTCTGATAGGTATTACAGTCATCATACTTCCCCATTTCAGTTACGGAAAGGGATGCCCAGATAAATTGAGCAAGTTGCCCAAGAGTCTGGGATTATAGCCCTCACACTCTGACTCTAGAAACCTTACCCTTGACCACCAGGCTGTATTGCTTCCCAGTCAAGTATTAGGTTGAAGCATATAAAATTGACTTTTTAGGAGATTAATATTGAAACAAATGTGGATTAACCATATTATTGCTCTATTTCAGTTAAATCCCTTTTTAAAATTGAAAGCTTTGTTGGTGTCATGGGACATCCTTTATTTTATGGCACTTAACCCACATACAACATTTTTTTGTCTACTGTTGATGACAGAACCCAGGGATTATTTTCTTGCTGTGCTGACCACCCCTCTATTGTTTTTACCTACTTAGACACATTATTTGCTTTGTTAACATCTATGTTTTATATTCATTTTTGTTTTTATTCATTTATTCATTTTTATATTCATTTATATTCATTCACTTTCAGGGGACCAGTAGGAGAAACACGTCGGAAGTAAAATACTTAATCACAATTCTGCTTGGCTGAACCTTAAGCCACTATGGAAGTTCCAAACTGATCTAAATGGAGTTCTGATGGAACCAAGTTTCCAAAGCACAGCTTGATTGCTTTGTTTAAAGTGGACTTCAGTTGAATTACTATGAAGGAATATAAAAATTAAAGTACACATATAAAAACTAAAATAAAGTTTAAAAATGATTATTTTAAATTATCTAGGATTTGTTTTCACTTCAAGAATATCTATTGCCTGTTTCCATTTTGCACAATTAATAATTTATAGTTATAACCTCCCAAGTTCTCAATGAGATAACTGAGATACATGTAACTTAGAGGGGTATGTTCAAGAGTTTTCTATCTGATATCTAGTTAAAATTTTTTCATATATTATCCTAAACAGAAAATAGCTAAGGCACTGTTAATTAATAAAAATGGCAAAAATAATAACTTCTACTGAATAATTATCGAGTGTTATGTTCTGTGTTAAGTGCCATATAAGCATTAGTCATTATAATCCCCTTACTTTACAGAAGAATAAATATCTGGTAAAAGAGATTAAGTAACTTGTCCTAAGTCTTAGTCTGAATTTTTTTCTTCTGTTTTAACATTTTTCAGTGCTAAAGTTGAACATAAATTATTGCCAGCTAATGGGAAGAATGACTAGTATAATTTTCATTTCCATTTCAATCGTAATCATTTTTCATGTTAGCTAATCTTTTACATTTATTATGGTTATAATATGCTGTAACTTTTAATGCCGGATGTAAATTTCATACGCAGGAAACTAGCTCCCATAATATTTTTTGCACGGTAACATTTACAATCACACGATCAGAGTTCATTTAAACTAGTGAATGAATATTCTTTTTGATAAAAGTCTAAAGAAGTCTCTTTAGATTTGCCAATCATTCTTCCTCATTGAGGACTTTAACTTCCTTTTGGCTTACACACTCAACCCATTTCCTTTCTGCATTTATAATTTCAAGGGCCACATCTGCCTGAAGCTATGCTAGAAAAAGTTTATATTTATAGGCTTTTGCAACATAATTTCTTTTTTTTATTTTTTAATTTAATTAATTAATTTATTTATTTATTTATTTACTTATTTGCAACATAATTTCTATGCTCATAGATGTTTGTTTTCTAGGTAAATCAATTTGCTAGCTAATGGGGACAATGACTAGAGTATTGAGTGAAATGAGTGAAAACCCAATTTCATTGTGCCACTTTTTACATCGCCCTGGTTTTACTTGCTGTGAAAGATGTTATTAGAAGAATAGTTGTTTCTTTAAAAGAGAAGTATCAGCGCGCAAAGTGGAAAAGGCATATGGGCCAAGCGCGCTTTCAGAAGCAGGCGTATGTTCAAGAATTGTGAATTGAGCTCAGTATCCAGTTTGGACCCCTTCTGCTAATCATTCTACATCCAGGAAGTGGTAAAAGTTTAAATAAGCCAGCTGATACTTAAGCATTTTACTCTTTTTGAAAGGTGCCTAAAAAGGAATCGATGGCCAATGTCTTAATTTATTTAAGTTTTATAGTATTATCCACCTCCAGGCCCTTTAACTGTGCTCTGAAGTTTCAATTCATGCCAGGTAATACTATATTTATAAATTCAAACTACTATTTTTCTTTATAATTCTCTTTGCAGATTCACAAACATTAGAATCACATGAAAATATCCACACATGCAACCGAGAAGCAAAACAATATAAAGATGAGTATTCGTTTTAGAATTGCAGTTTCACCCAGTTATGCCATTCACATTCCTTATGGTGACTTGGGGACCTCAGATGACGTCAAAATAAAAATGAGACTTTTGCCACTTTACTTTTTACAGCTCAGAAAATTTAAAAAGAACATAAAAGGAAACAGTCCAGGACCTCCTAGACCACAGTGTGAATATCGTCAGCAAATTCATGGCTTTGATTAAAGAACTCACCGGGAGTCCAGCTATTGTGTTCCATCTTGCCACAACTCCTAGAATTCACACTAAGTTGATACGGAATCAGGATTTGCAATTAACAGCAAAGTACTGTGTAATATTTTGGCTGCTTTTTTCACACAGACTGGCCATTTTCACCAGCTGCATTTGTCATCTACTTCAAGGGCAAAATGAAATAAAATAAAATAAAATTTCCTCTTATGTTCCTCTTCACGATCAAATCAATTGCTATACCAGGTACAAATGAAAACATGCCAAAGAAACCTTTCTAAAGCAACTCAGAGAGTGAGATGCGCCACTGCTGGGGGGCTTAGCTCCCTCCCCAGCGATTCGGTGGCAAACAGGTACAGTCAGGGTTAGCAGGGAGCAATGGCAGAAGCCACAAGTCAGAAAGCTCGGGGTGGGGGTGGAAATGGGGAAATAAATACTTTCAACTGCACTGAATAAAATCAAATTGCTGTCCAGGAGGCAAGGGGGCAGGGAAGGCAGCTTCACAAGCAAAAATATAAACATAAAGGGTAGCTACCAAGAGAGTCATGTTTCTCAAAGACACACGCCTGTCAGCTTTCTCCTGTGGAAAGGGGTTAAAGCTTTTAAATGAACTGATGTGATAAATGCAAACTCAAAAGGACCAAAAAAAAAAAAAAGAAAATGAATGTAGAAACAATACAAGTAGCAGGACCGAGGCTACCTCGAGTTCTCTCAGAATTCCCGACTGTCCACAGGTTTCCAAGTCCTCCAGCGCTTGGGACCAGAAGTTCTCCTCTTGTTCAGCCTCTGTACTGTCGGGAGCCCCTGTAAAACTGTCGTCAAAAAGCACAGTCTGGGTTGACAACTCGCCGAGGCATCATTCGGAATCTCTCTCTTTCATCCCACGTGTAAAAAAAATGGAGATTCTGTTTGGGGATCTGGCTTTCTTCCAACTGTAACCACCAAGTGAGGGTGCTCTAGGAAATGCAGAGTATCTCAGAGAATGGAGGGAGGGAAGGACCACGGTCCTGTTAACTGAATTTTAGGGCGTTCGTGGCTCCTGCAGGGTGAATTGCATCAACATGGCACCGTGTGGGCCTATCTTTCAACTGATCTGTCTAGTGCAAGAGAAATCAAGCTTCCCTTTAAGAGAAACATGTTTTCCCACTTATAAATGTCAGTGGAGATCATTCACGTGCTATCGGTTTTTGTGAATTTCCTTAAAATGCTCTGTCTCTCTCTGTCTCAAAAATAAATAAAGGTTAAAAAAAAATTTTAAATACTTTGGTAAGGAACAAAATGCTAAAATACATCTCAATTCAAACTATGGGATCCTCGATGTACCTTTTTTTTTTT